GTTTTTTCCCTTCACAGATGCTGCCAGACCTGCTGAGCTTTTCCAGCAACTTTGTTTTTCTTCCTCTTTCATAAAGCCTGTTTCACTCATTTGTGATGAGTGAGGTGATTAGACAAATGATAAAATTCCAATAAAAGAAATAACTGCAGGTCATTATTAAGAGATTCTGACTTCTGCCCCCTTCCGCAATTATGTCATTGCCCAGGTGTCCTTGCAGAAGTCTCTTGATGCCTTTAGAGACAGGTGGGCACTACAGGAGATACAGTGCTTTATTTCCCCCTCCAACTCCATTTTGATTTAGCCCCTTCCTGCTCTCCCTATGCCCCTTTCACCTTTGATGAATCACATTGCCATTAATTGGCAGTGCATATAAATATTCAATTGGCTACATGGGTATCTTACTGGTGGTGGTTACTGGTTTTAAAAAATGTCAGGGTGATTTTTGTGGAGGGAAGGCACTCATTTGTGTGTGATAACACTTCTGGATTGAAAGAAGAAATTCTGTCTATGTTAGATTCATCAGATGGAAAATGATTCTACTTAGAACTAACTTGCAACAATGGCTTAGGAAGTTTAAAACTACTAAGAAGGCATCTTACCATAGTTCCTACCAAGTTTCATACTTGATGAGAGTCTTGATGTTTAAGAAAATGAAACTTGGCATGTCAAACACCACTGGACTAATGCAAGTCAGCAGACTAGGAATTTATTCCGAGGAAGGGTCACCGGACTTGAAACGTTAACTCTGTTTTTTCCTTCACAGAAGCTGCCAGACCTGCTGGGCTTTTCCAGCAACTTTGTTTTTGTTGTTGTGGAGAAATTTATTGCCTTCTTTACAGGACATACAACCTGTGCTTCTAACCAACCATCGAGAGGCTAATTTTACAGTCATTAAAGATGTTGCCTCCCAGTGTGGTGCTGGTGTTTCTCAAATGAGAGAAGCTGGATAAATAGCCCCTCAGACTTGGTACAGGATCAAAAATGGCACAGTGTGCCCTATTTTTGCTGCACTGAAGCTGTTCACTGTCGTACCCATTTGAAATAGGCAAGTTAAAAGCTGATGAAACATTTGCCTTATAAGATCGGAAGATCTTAAGATACTTAAATCTGGGTCAATCTGATCACGTGCTGGTTGCTGCAGTGTGAAAATTAACACTTTTTTTTCTTGATAATGGGTCGATTCATAAAATATTGACCCAGCTGGCTCTCTTTAATTAGGTTATTTGATTCCTCAAAACAGTACAAATGAAATTAATTTTAAACAGCCCCTGAAAGGGATACAGCGATTACTAATGAAATTGTGAAAGGAAACAACAAATTGACAAGATGCTGGAGTGGGCAGATGGGGTTCAATACAGATAAGTGTGAGGTGATGAACTTTGGGTTGGAAGAACAATGAAAGACAATGCAAAGTGGTGGGTGCAATTCTACAGGAGGTTTTAGGCACAAAGGGATCTATGTGCACAGATTACTGAAGGTAGTGGGGCAAGGTAGAGAGCAGTTAATAAAGTATGCAGTGTTCTCAGCTTTATTAATAAGGGCATAGAGTAAAGAGCAAGGAGATGATGCCAATTTTGTACTCACCCAATATAAAGGGAAAACAGCACAGTGCTTCATCGGAGGCTGCAATGATGATGTTACCCAGCAGGGTAACGAAACGTCTGCGGAACAACGAACCAGCTCGGTGAGTGAGCCAACCACAACAGGAGAAATAATATCCCTAGGCCAAGGAGCTGTAGGCCCAAGATCTCTTTACACTTTTTCAATAATAAGCCAATTGAAATAATGGAACCAAATTAAAACAATTTCAGCTGATTTAATTGGTGGCAGTCCCTTCAAAGAAAAATAGGCTCTCTATGAAATTTTGAATTATGCGAACAAAACTATGTTAAATCATTTGAACCAAATTCATTCAAATTATCAATTGACAGCCCCTTAAAGAGGCACTGCTACTAAAAATAAAAATTCCAAAGGATACGAACTGAATTTAGATTAGAGTGCAATTCTAGGGGACATGAAGCACTCCAGCCCTGAGGTGCCCACTGGTCATTAAAGGCCTCAGTGCCCCAAATGGATACCATGTGCTCCCTCTCCAGGGATACCTGGTTACAGATATAATCACTGAAGAGAAACAAGCCATGAACAGAAGCTAAAAGATGACAGACCTAAAAGGGTCACTGTAATAAAAGGTAAAGACCCAAAGGAAACCTGAAATTAAATGGTAATTTTATGGGGAGATATTGCAATCCAGCTGCTGCAGTGCCCATTGGTCATAGAAGGACTTGAACGTACTAGCAGATACGTGTGCTGCTTCTCCAGGTACACCCGGGCACACAGACCATTGCTGAAGAAATGCAAGCAGTTGGGTATAATAAATCCTTCACAGTTCACTGCCTGGACCTGTTAATGTCCACCATGGCTAAGTGCAGCAGTAGGCCAACGAGAAGATTCTCTCCTCTCCTTCTCGCTGGCTGGCCAAAGATTAGTAACACAGGGCTGAACTACTAGTTAAATTTCAGGAACAACTCCCGTATAAAATGACAAAGGAGCTGCATTCAGTGTTAGATAACAAGGTGTAGAGCTGGATGAACACAGCAGGCTAAGCAGCATCATAGGAGCAGGAAAG